GAAAGTGCTGAGATTACAGGCATGAGCCACCGTGCCCACCCTGTAATTTTCTTTTGTATTGTTTCTTTCTGGTTTTTTTTTGTTTTTTTTTTTTTGAGATGGAGTGTCGCTCTGTCGCCAAGGCTGGAATGCACTGGTACAGTCTCAGCTCACTGCAAGCTCCGCCTCCCAGGTTCACGCCATTCTCCTGCCTCAGCCTCCCGAGTAGCTAGGACTATAGGCACCTGCCACCATGCCCGGCTAATTTTTTGTATTTTTAGTAAAGATGGAGTTTCACTGTGTTAGCCAGCTTGGTCTGATCTCCTGACCTCGTGATCCACCTGCCTTGGCCTCCTAAAGTGCTGGGATTACAGACATGAGCCACTGCACCCGGCCTTCTTTTGTAATGTTTCTTGTAAGATTTTTGGTGTCAGGGTTATATAGGCCTCATAAAATGAGTTGAAATAATAAGTTTGATATTCCTTCTTATTTATTTTCTCTTAGGTTTATACCCTTATTTATTTATTTATTTATTTATTTATTTTGGTTTGAGGCGGAGTCTCACACTGTCACCCAGGCTGGAGTGATGTGGCGTGATCTCAGCTCACTGCAAGCTCTGCCTCCTGGATTGTAGTGATTCTCCTGCCTCAGCCACCCAAGTAGCTGGGATTATAGGTGCCCACCACCACCATGCCCGGCTAATTTTTTGTCTTTTTAGTAGAGATGGGGTTTCACTATGTTGGCTAGGCTGGTCTTGAACTCCTGACTTCGTGATCCGCCCGCCTCAGCCTCCCAAAGTGCTGGGATTACAGGCGTGAGCCACCGCGCCCGGCCTATACCCATATTTCTTACTTAAGTATTTGGAAGAATTCATTAGTGAAGTCTCTTAGGCTTGGAGTTTTCTTCATGGAAGGTTTTTCATTGTGAATTTCAACTTATTTGGTAGATATAGGACTATTCAGATTTTCTATTATGTCAGTTTGTGTTAGTTTGATTTGTCCATTTCATCTACATTATCAAATTTATTAGCATAAATTGCTCAAAATATCCTTATCTTTTTCATATCTGTAGGATTTGAGAGCCATCCCCTTTTTAATTCATGATATCAGATATTTGCAATTCCTCTTTTTTTTTTTTTTATAAGTTTTGCTAGCGGTTTATCAATTTTTAAATTTTTTTTTTTATTTTAGGAGATAGGCTCTTGCTATGTTGCCCAGACTAGACTCCAACCCCTGGGTTCAAGCAATCCTCCTACCTTGGCCACCTGAGTAGCTGGGATTACAGGTATGTACCACAGCACCCAGTTTAATTTTGTTAATCTCTTTATTTTCTGTTTTTAATTTTTTTTAGAGACAGTGTTTTGTTTTGTTGCCTAGACTGGAGTACAGTGGCCTGATCATAACACACTGTGACCTCAGGCTCCTGGGTTCAAACCATCCTCCAGTCTCAGTCTCTCAAGAAGCTGAGACTACAAGCACAACCCACCATGCCTGGCTAATTTTAAAAATTTTTTGTAGAGACCAGTCTTATTGTGTTGCTCAGGCTGGTCTCGAACTCCTGACCTCAAGTGATCCTACTGCCTCAGCCTCCTAGAATGTTGGAATTACAGGTGTGAGCCACCATGGCTGGCCCACATTACCTCTTAAGATGACTCAAAAGTGCTTCAAACATAATTGTGCCCAAAACAAGCTCAAAGTCTTTCCTCTCAGACCTGATTCTTTTCCAGTGAACCTACACATTTATTGTAGGTTTGAATTAAGAAAAGTGCCAACAGTGCAACACATAAATAGGCAAAGGACATGATCTGACAGTCCATAGAAAAATAAGGGCTTTCTGTATGAAAAAATCCTCCACCTCATTCATAAGAAGAAAAACTATGGTGTGTCTATACAGTGGAATAGTCTTTAAAAAAAGAAAAAAGAGGACGTTCTTAACATAGTGATATGCCAAGATCTCCAAGATACTATGTTAAGTGTAAGAAGAATATATATTCATAATTGCTTGTATTTACATAAAATACTGGAATATTCAAGAAACTAATAAAGGTGGGCTGGTGCAGTGGCTCATGCCTGTAATCCAAGCAGTTCGGGAGGCCAAGGCAGGAGGATTGCTTGAGGCCAGGAGTTTGAGACCAGCCTGGGCAACATAGTGAGACCTTCATCTCTACAATATATACATATACGTATATATATGTATGTATATATGTGTGTATGTATATGTGTATAGATATATATATTAGGCTGGTGACATATGCCTGTAGTCCCGTCTACTTGGCAGGCTGAGGCCAGAGGATTGCTTGAATCCAGTCACGGCAGTAAGCTATGATTTTGCCACTGCACTCCAGCCTAGGTGACAGAGATCCTGACTCAAAAAAAAAAATTAATTTCAGCCTGATTAAAAAAAAAAAAAAAAGCAGTGCTATGATCGGGCGTTAACTTCTCAATAGGACTTCAAATTATGGTAAGGGGGTAAGTTAGAAGCTGAGGAATGGGTGCAGGGAAGTTGGATGTGGTATGAATGATCTGAAAATGAGAGCAATGTGCCAAGTACTGTGCTGAATCATTAAGTATGCAATCGCCTTTATTCCTCATAATAGCCTTAAAGTTGGCTGGTATTGTTTTCATTTTAAAGAGGATAAAGCAGCGACTGAAAAGATCTAAGGAACTTGCTGAAAGTCCCACAGCTATGTAGTGGGATTGCATAGATCCGTTCCTGGACTCAGGGTACCAACCTGAGATGAGCTGTTCAAGAGCATTGACTCGGCTGGGTTCCGTGGCTCATGCCTGTAATCCTAGCACTTTGGGAGGCCAAGGCGGGAGGATCACATGAGCCCTTGGATCAGCTTGGGCAACATAGTGAGACCGTCCCCCCTCCGCCCTGTCTCTAATTAATTAATTAAATTTAAAAAATAAAGAACATTGACACAACATGGAGGTAAACAGAGCAAGTGGGGAGGGAATAGAGACTTAATTCCATCAGCTGTCCTCTTTCCCCTCACCACTCTTCCTTTCCCTGTGTCCCAAACCCGTGTTTCTAAGTCCTGACTGTTATTCCTATGGTGTATTAAATACTATTATTTACTATTTAATACATCTTTTGTTGTTGTCTGTTTTCTCAAATGTTTTGTGGAGACAATGTCTCCCTATGTTACACAGGATGGTCTTGAACTCCTGGCCTCGAACGATCTTCCCACCTAAGCTCCCAAAGTCCTAGGATTACAGGCATGAGCCACCACGCCCAGCCTATTTAATACATATTATTTAATATATATAGTATAATACTTAAATAGGTACTATTTAATATTTAACACATATTAAATACAAATGATCCCCAACTTACGGTCTGTCGCCCAGGCTGGAGTACAGTGGCATGATCTTGGCTCACTGCAAGCTCTGCCTCCCGGGTTCACGCCATTCTCCTGCTTCAGCCTCCTGACTAGCTGGGACCACAGGCACCCACTACCACGCCCAGCTAATTTTCTGTATTTTTAATAGAGACGGGGTGTCACCTTGTTAGCCAGGATGGTCTCGATCTCCTGACCTCGTGATCCGCCCGCCTCTGCCTCCCAAAGTGCTGGGATTACAGGCGTGAGCCACCGCGCCCAGCCCTACTTAAGATTTTTCAACTTTATGATGGTGTGAAAGTGATAGACATTCAATAGATATTGTACAATATTCAATAAATTATATTTAACACTGTCTTATAAAATATGCTTTGTGTTACATGATCGTGCTCAGTGATAAGCTATTGTAAGTGTTCTGAGTCTGTTTAAGGTCCACTAGTCTAAGCTATGATGTTTGGTAGATTAGTGTTTTTTTGTTTTTTCTTTTGAGAAGGAATTGCGCTCTTGTTGCCCAGGCTGGAGTGCAGTGGCGCGATCTCAGCTCACTGCAACCTCCATCTCCTGGGTTCAAGTGATTCTCCTGCCTCAACCTCCTGAGTAGCTGGGATTACAGGCATGCGACACCACACCTAGCTAATTTTTGTATTTGTAGTAGAGACAGGGTTTCTCCATGTTGGTCAGGCTGGTCTCGAACTCTTGGCCTCAGGTGACTCACCTGCCTCGGCCTCCCAAAGTGCTGGGATTACAGGCATAAACCATCACGCCCGACCTAGGTGTATTTTTAAAGTGCATTTTTGACTTAAAATATTTTCCATTTATGATGGGTTTATCGAGAAGTAACCCCACTGTAAATCGAGGGGCGTCTCCAATCTGGAAGGCAGCTACTCCTTAATAGCCCCTTTCCTATAAAACATAAATCAAGGCCGGGCGCAGTGGTTCATGCCTGTAATCCCAGCACTTTGGGAGGCAGAGGCGGGCGGATCACAAGGTCAGGAGATTGAGACCATCCTGGCTAACACGGTGAAACCCCGTCTCTAAAAATACAAAAAAATGAGTTGGGCGTGGTGGCGGGTGCCTGCAGTCTCAGCTACTGGGGAGGCTGAGGCAGGAGAATGGCGCGAACCCGGGAGGCGGAGCTTGCAGTGAGCCGAGATCACTCCACTGCACTCCAGCCTGGGCAACAGAGCGAGACTCTGTCTCAAAAAAAAAAACAAAACAAAACCAAAAACAAACAAAAAAAACCGTGAATCAAAATCTACAAACCTTGTCATATAATAAAGCAAATAAAGCAAGGTGTACTAAGTTATAATCAGTGTGCACATTAGAGCAAGCACTACTTTTCCGATCTTAATTATTCCAGAGATGTTTGACCAATTTACTGGGCACGTGGGCGGTTTTCTGATTGCTGTTTCCACACTTTGCTTTCCCACAGAGAGATTTCCGCAGTTAGGGGCTGCTATTTCAACGCAGGGAGATAAAAAGAAAAAAAAAAAAAAACACTTCCTCTTCTATCCCACTAAAGACACCCATCCTAGGGAACACGCCAGCATTTCCAGCGCTCAGGGCAGGGCCACCGGGCCTGCGGCCGTTGCATTGGCTGGAAGCTGGCGGGCGATCACGTTTGATCGGCTCGGGTGCGGTCCAAGGGCAGCACCGCCTTCGGCGGGCCGCCTAGGGTGATTGGCTGCTGCAGACCCACCCCCTCGTCGGTTTGCGGGTCGGCGAAGCCTGGATTGGTGGAGCTAAGAGCTGGCTCAGCAGCAGCTCACGCTCTTGGTTCAGGGCAGAGATGGCGGCTGCGACTCGGCTGCTGGGGTGGCGTGTGGCGAGCTGGAGGCTGCGGCCGCCGCTTGCCGGCTTCGTTTCCCAGCGGGCCCACTCGCTTTTACCGGTGGACGATGCAATCAACGGGCTAAGCGAGGAGCAGAGGCAGGTGAGGAGACTGACCCCCTTCCTAGCCCCAAAGTCTCCTTCCTGCCTGGTCCCCATTGGCCCAGCGCCCACCTAGCCTTGGCTTTTGCCCGTGGGCCGTTGGGAGCGCCAGCGCCCGGGCAGGATGCGGGCCTCCGGCCTGGGGCCGGTCGTCTGTGGGGTGAAGATTTGAGACCGCAGGGCAGTACTGCTGGAAGTAGAGAGGAGTCGAGGCTGGGAGAGCTCCTGGGAGACCGATGGTGTTTTGGTGGAGGATTGGCCAGGCTACTGCTTGTGGCACAAGGGCCCTCAATCTGTATGTAGTTCACTTAACCTGAACAGTCTGAGGTATGCTTCTGACACCTGGGTGATCATCGTAATCACCAGGGAGTCTTTTTTGTATAAACAGTTTGAGGGTTTTAAAAAGCTACAGTGAGCTCTCCTGTCGCTCTTCAGCCCATTGGGTCAAAACACAAAGTTGAACAAGTACTCGAAAGAAGCAGTTAGAGGCCAGGCACCGTGGCTCACACCTGTAATCCTAGCACTTTGGGAGGCCGAGGTGGGAGGATTGTTTGAGCTCAGGGGTTTGAGATCAGCCTGAGCAACATAGCCAGACCCCCATCTCATAAAAAATAGAAAAGGAGAAGACGAAGAAGTATTTACAAATGGAGCGGAACCAGAGTCCTTCCTGAGGCTTCACTTGGAGGCTGGATGGAGCTGGCAGAGGTGTGAGCCTCCCAGCAACTCCATAGTTTGTTTATAGCCAGCGAACGCTCAGAGCTTCGGTGAACCACCTCAGGCAGAAAGGGTTCAATCCCTGTTCTCAAGCTTTCCTGGCAAGAGGAGTTTCTTTCTTTTTCTTTTTCTTTTCTTTTCTTTTTTTTTTTTTTGAGACGGAGTTTCGCTCTTGTTGCCCAGGCTGGAGTGTAATGGCACGATCTCTGCTGACCGCAACCTCCGCCTCCCAGGTTCAAGTGATTCTCCTGCCTCAGCCTCCCAAGTAGCTGGGATTACTGGCATGCGCCACCATGCCTGGCTAATTTGGTATCTTTAGTAGAGACGGAGTTTCTCCATATTGGTCAGGCTGGTCTCAAACTCCCAACCTCAGGTGATCCTCCTGCCTCGGCCTCCCAAAGTGCTGGGATTACAGGCGTGAACCACCATGCCCAGCCACCAAGAGGAGTTACTAATCTCTTTGGGTAATCAGTCCCTTTTAGTCAAAGGTTCAGGGGCTTGAAAGAGGCTGACAACTGTTGAGATCTGGAGGCTGCCTAGAATGCAGCTGGAGCACAGAGGGTGGGAGGTGGGAAGGTGCTGGGGAAGCTGGGAGAGTCAGCTGGGGTCAGCTCCTGCAGGGCCTAGGAGACCTAGGTGAGAAGCTAGTGTTTCATTCTAAGTATAGTGGAAACCAATGGAATGATTTTTACGTAGGGTGTGACGTTTTAAAAATTACCATCAAGCTATCTAGGCTGAAGACCTTAAGAAAGAAGATCATCTCTGAGGAGGCATAAACTACGGAGGCCTCTCACTTTCAGTCCGATGCTGTTTGGTGAAGTTACTTATGACCTTTTCTCTTGAATGTGCCTTGGTAGTGGAGATGCTTTCCACAGTGGCATCTGTTTACTTCTCTCCTATTAGCTTCGTCAGACCATGGCTAAGTTCCTTCAGGAGCACCTGGCCCCCAAGGCCCAGGAGATTGATCGCAGCAATGAGTTCAAGAACCTGCGAGTGAGTTGGGAGGCCTGGGCATTGGGGGGCAGTCTGGGAGTGGGGCTGAGCTTCACTACTGCCTGGAAGAGCTCACGCAGTTTTCTGGTAAATGAAGCCTCCCTAAGAATGCAGCCCCTCTCTCTGAAGTGTTTGGGTCTCATTGTTCCAGCCACATGTGACTGGCTGCCTTCCCCTCAACACTCATTCCACTCTATTCTGTTGGCAGGAGTTTTGGAAGCAGCTGGGGAACCTGGGCGTATTGGGCATCACAGCCCCTGGTGAGTATAGTGTATTCCCCTAAAGAGAACTTTTATTGTGTGCCCTTTAAGACAGTTCCCAAAAGAAGCAGGAAGGGAAGGGAAAGATTGTGTTTAAAGAAACCCAGAACTGCATCTTTTGGACCTGTGAAAGCACCCATTGATTGTCAGCCCAGAGAACAGAACACTCTTCCATTTTATTAGACAGTGACGTGGAGAAGGCAGAGGTATTAACTTGGTCATTGTGGCTTACTTGGATCAGGATCAGTCCAACTCTTGAACTCTGCTTACTTAACAGGCTCACCCAGGTGATTTGGGAAGTTTAGAAAACTCTGGATCAAGTGGTTGTCTTCATGGTACCTCAGTCCTACTGCCTCCCCTAATCCCTATAAGCTTTGTCCTACCAGTGGCCTCTCGGCAGGAACACTCCGGGCAGGGTGTCCCTGCAGGGACTGCCTGTGTCCTCTTCTGCCCACACCTTGGAGCTCATTTGGGAGCAGATGGCAGGGGGAGTAGGGTGGGGGGTGGGCAGGGGAGAGAGATGTCTATCTGGGCTTCCAGGTGAGGTGGCCAGATGATGTGTTTACTAGGCTCTCCGGAGGGAGAAGGCAGGGATCTGGCAGGCTCTGGTTTGGATTTTTTTTTTTTTTTTTTTTTTTTGAGATAGAGTCTCACTCTGTCACCCAGGCTGGAGTGAAGTGGCATGATCTCGGCTCACTGCAAGCTCTGCCTCCCAGATTCACGCCATTCTCCTGCCTCAGCCTCCCAAGTAGTTGGGACTACAGGCACCCGCCACCATGCCCGGCTAATTTTATGTATTTTTAGTAGAGACAGGATTTCACCGTGTTAGCCAGGATGGTCTTAATCTCCTGACTTCATGATCTACCCGCCTTGGCCTCCCAAAGTGCTGGGATTACAGGCATGAGCCACCGCGCCTGGCCTGGTTTGGATATTCTTAACCTCTGAAGGAGGCCCAGCCTGACTTGCAGTGCCCAGTAAAGAGATGAGCCTAGGCCAGGCACAGTGGCTCATGCCTATAATCCCAGCACTTTGGGAGGCCGAAGCAGGTGGATCACCTGAGGTTGTGAGTTTGAGACCAGCCTGACCAACATGGAGAAACCCTTTCTACACTGAAAATACAAAATTAGCCAGGCGTGGTGGTACATACCTGTAATCCCAGCTACTCGAGAGGCTGAAGCAGGAGAATTGCTTGAACCTGGGAGGTGGAGGTTGCAGTGAGCTGAGATGGCGCCACTGCACTCCAGCCCAGGCAACAGAGCAAGACTCCATTTCAAAAAAAAAAAAAGCCCAACCTGCTTTGGCCTGTATTCACTCTGGGCATGAGAGTATGAGTGAAACCCAATACTTCTCCTTACATCCCAGAAAGTTACATCACCTTTCATAAAATGAAACCACTTAAAGATTAATTGCAACCATCTTAATGTAAAAGCATTGGGGGAAAGGCTGCTGGTCACTCCTAAGGAAGACTCTCCTATTGTGTTTTGGGGGTTTATGTACCCCACTCCCTGCAGACAATATGCTTCTGAATCAGATTGTATTTTATGGAAGAAAGAGGCAGTTAGAAATCAGATGAAAATGACCAGGTGTGGTAGTGGGCTTCTGTAATCCCAGCAACTGGGGAGGCCAAGGCAGGAGGATTGCTTGAGCCCAGGAGTTCAAGGCTGCAGTGAGCCATGATTACACCATTGCACCCCAGCCTGGGCAAAAGAATGAGAGCCTGCCTCTTGAAAAAAAAAAGGAAAAAATTCGATGAAAACTCTTTCAAGGGAACCTAAAAAAGAGAGCCGGATATAAGTTCCGGTTTCTGCATGATGTCATGGTGGCTGTTTCTAATGTCACCTGCCTTCAAACTTTCCTTCCTGCAGTTGTAGGGGCAGGTCAAGCTTTCCTTAGAGCCGAGGACAAGCCTGACTTGTTGGTCAGAGTGAACATGTGTATAGGACCTTGTTAGGCTTGACCCAATCAGCAGGGCTGGGGGTGGTATCAGGTGACCCAGCCACTTTGAGTTTGGATCTGCTGCCAAGGAAAAACCGTATATTTTATGAGGAGTTCTGAAATTCTCTGCCAGCATCTCATCTTCCCTCTGCTGCACAGCCCACCTGAAGATTGTCCCTGAGGCTGTGGCTCTCCTGTCCTGTTACCAGTCCTGCTTCTTTGGGTTCAGCCCTATGCTATAAAATCTCACCTTCCTTAGGCCTTTTGCAGACACATCACATCCTCTGGCTTTGTATCTGTTCTTGGTGCTTTGGATACCACCTCCATCCCAATGTCTTTGTTTTTCTCTGTTAAACTCCAGGCCCTCTTTCTTCATTTATTCATCTGCCTCTGCATTTCTGTAACTTTCTGAGTAGTGGGTGCTCAGGTTGTTCACGTATCTTCATCAAGAGGTCTGTCTGGGATAAAGGAGGAGTTGCAATGATTGCCTTCTGAATCACCCCTCAGCTGACAAGCAGCAGCAGGCAAAACCAGTCCAGTGAGCTTAGAAGCAGGTCTGTGGCATCAGCTTATTCTTGTTGCTAGAGGGAATTTGGAATAGGTGCTACAAGGTGTTTCCCTTCTGCCAACAAATGGAATATCCCAATTTAATCTGGGCTGCTTTTTCCATTCCCTTGTACCACACCACTCCCAGTTCAGTATGGCGGCTCTGGCCTGGGCTACCTGGAGCATGTGCTGGTGATGGAGGAGATATCCCGAGCTTCTGGAGCAGTGGGGCTCAGTTATGGTGCCCACTCCAACCTTTGCGTCAACCAGCTTGTGCGCAATGGGAATGAGGCCCAGAAAGAGAAGTATCTCCCAAAGGTAAGGAAATGGAAATGTAATACATGCTAATCTCACAGTGCAACAACCAGCTATAAGGCACCCTCTCCCCTTGGTGCGGGCCAGTGAGACCTGCTTTCTGTAGCATGCTGCCATGAACCCAGTGTGGTTAGGAAGGGGCCATGGATTGCTTTAAAATATTTGAGCCAAAAATAAAAGTAGGACCAGACCTCTTGCATTGAACAACAGACAGACAACATTTGAAGAGAACTCTAAGAAATGGAAGAGTAGGACTGGCTTCCTTTGCAAAGGGAATGGAAAAAGGAGAGGCATTTTCAGCCTTGTAGCCATTGGGCTTCTTAGAAGAGACTTCTAGGACTTTACCGATACCCTGGTGTGAGAAGTTTGAAGGGGTGTAATGTGGACAGGAAGAAGCAGTATCAGTGAGCTGCCCTAGAGTACTCCAAGGTTGTAACAAGGCCTGTTGGGGGTTTTCCTTGCAGCTGACCAGTGGTGAGTACATCGGAGCCCTGGCTATGAGTGAGCCCAATTCAGGCTCTGACGTTGTCTCTATGAAGCTCAAAGCGGAAAAGAAAGGTGAGGCCGCTCTCGACTTGGGAGCCAAAATGGGCAGAAGTTCAGACATTATCAGGGTGAGGGAGGAACAATTGGGGGTGGCCCCTGTTGGGTTTCCAGAACTTTCTCAGAGCTGGACAGCTATTTGCTCAGCAGAAGGTCTATGGCCTGGCTGAGACAGGCCGAGATGGCTTGAGCAAATAGCCAACATCCTGCCCTTAGGAGATCACTACATCCTGAATGGCAACAAGTCCTGGATCACTAATGGCCCTGATGCTGACGTCCTGATTGTCTATGCCAAGACAGATCTGGCTGCTACGCCGGCTTCTCGGGGCATCACGGCCTTCATTGTAGAGAAGGTGAGTATAGATGGGTGTAGGGCCAGGGAGGCTTCTGCCTCCTGACAGTGGTACCAGAGATAGCCCCTTCACTGATCTCAAATGCAATCAATGTTGTGTGCTCTGCAAGGCCCCCAGAGGTGGGGATGAGGCAGAGAGCAGACTGCAAGGAGGGTAACCAGGAAGTCCAGGGCAGATGGGTCACTTCTGAAGACAGTGGAGCCGTCCGCAGTGCCAGGCCACACAAAGCGGTCTAGAAAGGGAAGGACTGAAAGGAGGTCAGGACGTGACAGTCAGGGTACATTGGTGGACCTGATGAGTGTGGCCATGGGAGACTGAGGTGTGGGTGGGATATAAGTGGAGACTGCCCCTGCAACAGCCTTAACAACAAATGCAAGAAGGAAGCAGAGCAGGAGTTCAAACAGAAAGTTAGGAGTTTGGGTGTGTTTTTAGGAATGAGAGAACTGAGCAAAGTTTTTGGTCAGAAGGGAAAAAAAAAGGGAAGAAAAAGGAAAATAGAGGGAGCAATTGAGGCGTCTGGGAATGAGTGGGCAGTACACAATGGTGAGCGGGGACAGGAGAGAGAAGGATGGGTTACAGGTGATGGTGCAGGAACCACCTGCCTAACGATCATGAGGAGGAAGCCAGGGGCCCTGTGAGGGCTGGGGCCACGGGTGGGGGAGTTGGCAGAGAGTTTCACGAGCGAGTATTGTAAAGGTTTGCGGTACCCTCCATAGATCAGGGGAAAGTAGCTGTCTAGAGTTGGAGCAGTAGGGACCTGGCTGAGATTGGAAATCTCAAGGTTACGTGACGCCCTCCTCATTACAGGTCGAACGGCAGCCAGCACTCTGCTGGGCACTTGCCAAAACATGCTGCAATCCAGTAGTCCAGGTGAAAGCACAGAGGGCTCAGTTCAGCCCTAGTGATATCCCTTTGGGTACAGACAGGAGAAAACAGAGGATAAGGGAATTGACCGGACTGGTGACAGTATCTTGGAAGTAATGTCCCCTGGGGGAGGGAAATAAGGCCACGGGGGTCAGGAGGGCTCAGAGAACTGAGCATATCATTGAGAAAGAACTGTCCCCTTGAGAACTGGGGAGAACACAAGCTAGTGGCAGAGGAGGCTGGGATCAGTCTGGGGCGTTAGCACCGGAAGGACCTGGGGGAAGCATGGGACTAAGATGCTGCCATACTGTGCAGGTACAGGGACTCAGTAGGAAGGTGGGTGCCTTCTTCCCAGGGGCCTTTCCTTTACCAGGCCCCCTTGGGGCTAATCTGTAACCAGGACCGCCTTTTGATTCCTGTAAAGGGTATGCCTGGCTTTAGTGCCTCTAAGAAGCTGGACAAGCTGGGGATGAGGGGCTCTGACACCTGTGAGCTAATCTTTGAAGACTGTAAGGTTCCTGGTAAGTAGCACCGAGAATCGGGGAGCCCCTCTCCTGACCCCCTTCCAGGCTGATGTGGCTGTTCTCGAGCTGAGAAAGCCTCTGGGTTAGACAGGCTTGGCATTGTTAGCTCTTCAGTGACATGTGGTAGGCTGTGAGCTGGGGCTGTGGGACAGCGCTCCTTCCTGTCCAGGGCCCTGCAGCGGCATGCCTGACTGGCATCACACACTCCGCATAGAGTCTGTACTCAGTAGCCAGAGAAGGGTCAGACCTACCCTTTTCCACTGATGTCCTTCAGTCTTCCTGTACTTTTGCCCGTCCACTGCATGTAAGTAACTCATTAACTCACATTTTTGTAAAAAAATTTAAAAATGAGTTAATTCATTTTTAGCATTAATGATGCTAGGAAAAAAAAAAACATCTGAATCCACTGATAGAAACCAGACTCAGTGAAGAGAAGGCAGTCCTGTTTGAGTATGAGTATTTTCTCCCCCGAGATGTAACTGAAATATGACATGGTGGAGCACTGTGGGAGAGCCAGCGCAGCCATCATGTACTAACCAGACCAGGGGCGTGGATTTGTTGTTTGGGTATTTTTTTTTTTTTTTTTTCCGAGAAGGAGTCTTGGCTCTGTCACCCAGGCTAGAGTGCAGTGGCGTGATCTCGGCTCACTGCAGCCTCCACCTTCCAGGTTCCAATGATTCTCATGCCTCAGCCTCCCGAATAGCTGGGATTATGGGCACACGCCACCCTGCCCAGCTAATTTTTTTTGTTTTTTTGAGATGGAGTGTCACTCTTGTTGCCCAGGCTGGAGTGCAATGGTGCGATCTCAGCTCACTGCAACCTCTGCCCCCTGGGTTCAAGTGATTCTCCTGTCTCAGCCTTCTGAGTAGCTGGGATGCCAGGCACACACCACCACGCCCAGCTAATTTTGTAATTTTAGTAGACAGATGGGGTTTCACCATGTTGGCCAGGCTGCTCTTGAACTCCTGGCCTCAGGTGATCCACCTGTCTCAGCCTCCCAAAGTGCCAGGATTATAGGCCTGAGCTACCGTGCCTGGCCAGGGGCATGGATTTGATCACCAGTTAGGTTTGCTGTCTGCCTCAGCCATGTACCATGCCTATCACTGACAGCCCAAAAAAGTGTGCTTTAATTACAGGGAGCATCCAGGGAGGGGAACCTGTGCAGCTCCTTCTTTGTTGACAGGAAAAAATTCAGCTAGCATTAAAGGCAGGTCAGTGGTGTCAACTCATTTCCCTGCCCACACCTCCCAAGGCCATCCAGTCTGGCTTACTGGGTGGAGAGGTGCTCAGCAGCTTCTGTTACTATCTCTGAATGGCCTGTCTCCTGCACAAAGAAGCTTTCGTGGACTACCCTGCAGGGAGGTGACACTGGACCAGAGCTGACTCCATCTGGGGAAAGAGTAACTCTCTGGTTTCTTTATAGGTGCCTGTGTAGAAAGAATCAGGGAGGGATTGGGTGACTTCTAGACCAATTAACTTTTCTTCTTTCCCATCCAAGGGAGTCCAGAGAGGGAAGGGAAAGATCTAACAACCCTGGGCTTTGTGGTTGGCCTTGTGGATGGGGTGGGGGTCCTGGCAGCTCCACTTCTGACTGGAAGGGGTTCACTTGATCGTTTTCTTTTACCTGGAACCTTAGTTGAATAAAGGTCAAGTGACATATTTTAGTGCCTTACTTGAGAGCCATGTTTCCACATCTAGTACCTTTGATAAAAGTGAGGAGGCTGTGGACAGCTCTCTCCCTCTGACCAGCACTTATCCTGGCAGCTGCCAACATCCTGGGCCATGAGAATAAGGGTGTCTACGTGCTGATGAGTGGGCTGGACCTGGAGCGGCTGGTGCTGTCCGGGGGGCCTCTTGGGTAAGTGTGAGGCTTGGGGGAAGCTGGGCTCTGTCGGCCTCCTTGGCCGGTGGCCCACCATGAGCAGCAGCATCCTTCCCCTTGGGGGCCAAAGGGAGCTGCCTCCCGGCCCTGCACTCTCCTGGGAGACAAAAAGAACCACGTCCTCCCGTGTTGAATTTCTTCCCACAGCAGGGAAATATCATTAAGTGACAGACCAAAGACCTGAGGAGCAGGGTGGCTTACTCAGCTATGGAACAACACCTGGGCTGTCACACCCCTGCACCTCTGGTCAGTCAGTGCCATAACTGCGGCTAGAGTTTCTGAGGCTGCTTTTCTCCTCCCTGGGACTCCGGCCTTCCCACGCTAGCATTTTGCCACCACGCCCAGTGGTGGGATGAGGAGGTGCCCATAGGACCTTTCTCCTTTCTGACAGGCTCATGCAAGCGGTCCTGGACCACACCATTCCCTACCTGCACGTGAGGGAAGCCTTTGGCCAGAAGATTGGCCACTTCCAGGTGAGCCGCGTGCTTTTGCTGACATGTACGCTTCGACTGGGCTGAAGTTTTCTTTGAAAGAGAGGAAGTGAGGTGGGCACCGTGGATGTTCACTGTCTCCTCTAGCAAATTGAGCTTGACTGCTTGGAATGCAGTCTTCCTCAGCGTGCAGCCCGGCTCTGGAAGTCATCAGGAAGTTCATCACATTGCCACCTCGATGCCTGTGTGAGGTGGATGAACTAGACATTGTAAGGTTGGAGAGCAAAGCATGCAGGTTGTGGGGGCAGAAGGGAAAGAGGTTGCTATTTGTAATTAGACCACCTGGTCCGAAGAAGCTGCTGGAAGGTAATAAGCATTGGAGTAAATGGTGCCTTGGGAGCCATGCCTTTCGGAGGCAGTGATGGCCACTTGAAGGTGTAATGCGGGCCGTGGAATGGCCACTCTGGCCCTAACTCCCACACCTGCCTCCATCTCCGTCATCCTGGGTAAATCCCATCTCCTCTCCATGCCCCTGCTTCCTCATCCTTGGCTGTCTTGTTGCCATTGCTGACCTGGCTTTTGGTAACTGGGAGAGTGTTCCAGCATGTTGACCTGTGACATCCCTTTGTGCTCAGTTGATGCAGGGGAAGATGGCTGACATGTACACCCGCCTCATGGCATGTCGGCAGTACGTCTACAATGTTGCCAAGGCCTGCGATGAGGGCCACTGCACTGCCAAGGTGAGAACCGCCTCAGTCCAGGAGAGAGGGGGGCAGTGGGCCGGCGGCTGGGACTTGCTGTCTGCGTGCCTCGCAGGGCCCTGCTGACCCGAGCTTCCTCCCGTAGGACTGTGCAGGTGTGATTCTTTACTCAGCTGAGTGCGCCACGCAGGTAGCCCTGGATGGCATTCAGTGTTTTGGTGAGTGATCCCCACTCCCCACTCCCCACTCCCAGGGCTCCCTCACTCTTGGGGCCTGTGGCTGCTTCAGAAAGCATTTCAGGGCGGGCGTGGTGGCTCACACCCATAATCCCAGCACTTTGGGAGGCCGAGGCGGGTGGATCACCTGAGACCAGGAATTCGAGACTAGCCTGGCCAACATGGTGAAACCCCATGCCGGGCGTGATGGTGCATGCCTGTAATCCCAGCTACTTGGGAGGCTGGGGCAAGAGAATCTCTTGAACCCGGGAGGTGGAGGTTGCAGTGAGCCAAGATTGCACCATTGCACTCCAGCCTGGGTGACAGACTAAGACTCTGTCTCAAAAAAAAAAAAAAGGCAGTCTCCCCTCCACTCCTCACTATGTGCTTATGCTAGGCCCAGATGAGCTGGGACCTTTGGGCTCTTTCTGTCCCAGTTACAAGGAGGAAATGGAAAGCAAATGAGAAAACTGCTAGATGCCAGGAGTTGCTGCTGCCTTCAGCAACACCCCCCTCTCATCCTCCCTGCCTCACAGACGCTAGGAAATGGGGAAAGGGAGATGTCTCAGAGGTGGACCAGCCTTGTTTCCATGCTGTGCGGTGGTTAGGAGCACAGACTCGAGCCGAGCAGCTGAGGTTTGAATCCTTGAGCTGCTATGCTGGCGTCCTCTCATCCCCATTTGCCATGCCTGTCAGTGGCATCCCTCTTTCTTTGTCTGGTATCCTTAGCACTCTGAGTGGCCTTTCGGCTGCAACCTCTTGCCCACCCTACCCCCAACAAGGTACAGTAGTCCCTTCTTCTCCTCAGCTTTGCTTTCACAGCTTCATTTACTGTGGTCAGCCAAGGTCCAAATATACTAAATGGGGCTGGGCTCACACCAATAATCCCAGCACTTTGGGAGGCCAAGGTGGGCGGGTCACCCGAAGTCAGGAGTTTGAGACCATCCTGGCCAACATGGAGAAACCTCGTCTCTCCTAAAAATACAAAAATTAACCAGGCGTGGTGGTGCATGCCTGTAATCCCAGCTACTTGGGAGGCTGAGGCAGGAGAATCGCTGGAACCCGTGAGGCAGAGGTTGCAGTGAGCCGAGATCGTGCCATTGCACTCCAGCCTGGGTGACAGAGTGAGACTCCATCTCAAAAAAAAAAGTGCTGCTGGGCACAGTGGCTCATACCTGTAACTCCAGCACTTTAGGAGTCTGAGGCGGGTGAATCACCTGAGATCAGGAGTTCGAGACCAGCCTGGCCAACATGGTGAAACCCCATCTCTACTAAAAATACAAAAAAAAAAAGAAAAAAAAAAAAATTAGCCAAGTGTGATGGTGGGAGCCTGTAATCCCAGCTATTTGGAAGGCTGAGGCTGGAGAATCACTTGAACCCAGGAGGTGGAAGTTGCAGTAACCAGAGATTGCGCCATTGCACTCCAGCCTGGGTGACAAGAGTGAAACTCCATCTCAAAAAAAAAAAAGGCCAGGCGCGGTGGCTTACCCCTGTAATCCCAGCACTTTGGGAGGCCGAGGCAGGCAGATCACCTGAGGTCAGGAGTTTGAGACCAGCCTGACCAACATGGTGAAACCCCATCTCTACTAAAAATACAAAAATTAGCCGGGTGTGGTGGTGCGTGCCTATAATCCCGGCTACTCAGGAGGCTGAGGCAGGAGAATTGCTTGAACCTTGAAGGCGGAGGCTGCACTGAGCCAAGATCATGCCACTGCCCTCCAACCTGGGTGACAGAGCACGACTCCTTCTCAAAAAAAAAAAAAGCTAAATGGAAATTTCTAGAAATAAGCAGTTCATAAGTTTAAAATCCACACTATTCTGAATACCGTGATGAAGCATTGTGCCATGCTGCTCTGTCGTGTTTGGTACGTGAAACGTCCCTTTGTGCAGCCTATCCATGCTATGTGGGCTACCTGCCCATTAGTAGTCACCTAGAGTATCCAATCAGCTGTCTTGGTATCACAGTGCCTGTGTTCAAGTAACTCTTATTATTTTACTCAGTGGCCCCAAAGTGCAAGAATAGTGATGCTGGCATGTCATAATAGTTCTGTTTTAGTATTAGTTATTATTGTTGATCTCTTATTGTGCCTAACTCATAAACTTGCTCATAAATATGTATGTATAGGGGAAAAAACAACATATATATGGGGTTTGGTACTATCCATGGTTTCAGGCATCCACTGGGGTCTTGGAATGTATCCCCCAAGGATAAGAAGGAACTAGTGTATTCCCCACACCCCTCCATCTTGCTACCTTTTGCTGCTTTTCTTTAATCAGTCTCTCCTCCTGTGGCCTGTTTCTATATACTCCGCCTTCTCTTTGCTTTCTTTGTTTTGCCCACTGTCAATCACTTCCTTTCTTCTCTGCCCAAACCCTTGTTGCAGGTGGCAATGGCTACATCAATGATTTTCCCATGGGCCGCTTTCTTCGAGATGCCAAGCTGTATGAGATAGGGGCTGGGACCAGCGAGGTGAGGCGGATGGTCATCGGCAGAGCCTTCAACGCAGACTTTCACTAGTCCTGAGACCCTTCGCCCCCTTTTCCTGTACCTAGTAGCCTTTCTTGGCAAGTAGAGATGTGGTGGCTCTCCCACCCTGCCCGCAGCAGGCCCTCCTGCCCAGCTGGTCTTGTTAGCCCTCTGGCCTCTGGATGAGGTTGAGTTCTCCACAACAGCTCCCAAGCATCATGGGCCTCACAGCCGGGCCAGTGCCAGGACTAGTGTTCTGTGACTTAAAATGGACTCAGCAGGAAGCATATTGTCTGGGGATTGTTGGGACAGGTTTTGGTGACTCTGTGTCCTTGCTCTCTAACTTCTGAGCCCACTTCCCAGGGTAGGCACCTGGGGGCATGCAGATACCCGCCTCTTTCTCTTGGGTGAGCCTCTGGCAGGACGATCTCTCTGCTCAAGCACAGCAGAATCATGGCCCCTCCATGAATTGGAACTTGGTGCAGGTTAAGTATCCCTAATCCTAAAATCTGAAACACTTCTGGTTCCAAGCATTTTGATTAAGGCATATTCAACTTGCAGTCTCTTTTCTGGGGGAAAAAAATAATTAAAAACCTAGCCTAGCCAGGCGTGGTGGCTCACGCCTGTAATCCCGGCACTTCAGGAGGCCAAGGTGGGTGGATCACCTGAGGTCAGGAGTTCAAACCCAGCCTGGCCAACATGTGGAAACCCCATCTCAACTAAAAATAGAAAAAAATTAGTTGGGAATGGTGGCGTAACCCCACCTACTTCACCTACTGTAACCCCAGCTACTTCAGGAGGCTGAGGCAGGAGAAACACTTGAACCCGGGAGGTGGAGGTTGCAGTGAGCCAAGGTTGCGCCATTGCACTCCAGCCGGGGCGACAAGAGCAAAACTCTGCCTCAAAAAACCAAAACAAAACAAAACAAAAACCTGGCCCTTATTTCTTCCAGTTTCTAGAGGTATCATCTCCTAGCAGCTTATGAACACATATGCTTGGCCAGGCAGGGTGGTGTGTGCCTGTAATCCCAGCACTTTGGGAGGCCCAGGCGGGAAGATCACTTGAGCCTAGGAGTTCAAGGCTGTAGTGAGCTATGATGAGACCACTGTACTCCAACCTGGGCAACAAAGTGAGACCCTGTCTCTAAAAATAAAAATAAATGATGGCTGGGTGCCGTGGCACACGTCTGTAATCCCAGCACTTTGGGAGGCCAAGACGGGTGGATCACTTGAGCTCAGGAGTTCGAGACCAGCCTTGCCAATATGGTGAAACCCCATGTCTACTAAAAATACAAAAATTATCCAGGGGTGGTGGTGCACACCTATAATCCCAGCTACTCAGGAGGCTGAGGCAGGAGAATCACTTGAACCTGGGAGGCGGAGGTTGCAATGTGCCAAGATGACACCGCTGCACTCCAGCCTGGGCCATAGAGCGAGATTCTGTCTCAAAAAAGAAAAGAAAAATAGGCCGGGCGCAGTGGCTCACACCTGTAATGCCAACACTTTTGGGAGGCCAAGGCAGGTGGATCATGAGGTCAAGAGTTCAAGACCAGCCTGGCCAAGATGGTAAAACCTCATCTCTACTAAAAATACAAAAATTAGCCAGGTGTAGTGGCAGGTGCCTGTAATCCCAGCTAATCCCAGTCTCAGGAGGCTGAGTCAGAGAATTGCTTGAACCCGGGAGGCAGAAGTTGCAGTGAGCCAAGATCACACCACTGCACTCCAGCTTGGGTGACAGAGTGAGACTCTGTCTCAAAAAATAATAGGCTGGGTGTGATGGCTCACGCCTGTAATCCCAGCACTTTGGGAGGCCAAGGCGGGCAGATCACAAGGTCAGGAGTTTGAGACCAGCCTGACGACCAACATGGTGAAAACCTGTCTCTACTAAAAATATAAAAATTAGCCGGGCCTGGTGGCACACGCCTGTAATCCCAGTTACTCGGGAGGCTGAGGCAGGAGAATCACTTGAACGTAGGAGGCGGAGGTTGCAGGAGCCGTGATCGTGCTATTGCATTCCAGCCTGGGCAACAACAGAGTGAAATTGTCTCAAAAAAATAATAATAAATGAACAGATGTGCTGCTAAGAGTCTGCTGTGTGGCAGAGCAGAGGACAGCATGCTTTTGTGTGCTATTGGAAGACTAGCTCCTCCTGTACAGCACCTCTGAGCCCTTGTGCACTGCCCCACCCTGCCACGGGCACCATCCAGTCCTGGCCACGTGACCACCCACAGCTGACTGGGCAGCAGGCACAGGCCCTACCCGAGCAGACCGGAGTTGGCTGGCCTGACTCCAGCTGAGGCTGCCTGTGTACATTTCTCCAGATACCCTATGGCTAATTTTGTTATTACTGCACAGTGGCTGCTGCCATTTTGTATTAAATATATTGTGAAACAAACCCATCTGCTTCTAAAGCAGTGATTTTGGGGAGAAGCAATCTATTTGCCGCTGCTTCCTTTCTGGATCCAGCTTGTGTCCTTGGAGAGTGGCTGGTCCAGGTCCTATTCCTGCCCTCCAGCCTGTTCTTTCATGAGGGACAGGAAGATAAAATCAGCCCTTAGGATAGAGGTCTCAGCCTCCCTTTCCCAGATCTCCCAGTGAGTTTTAAAAGAAACAGGGAGCCCAGAGTGCTAAGTTCTTACAGCCAGAAGGAAGCTTATAGATTTCTGAAAACTACACCTATGTTTTTAAAAAGATCAATACAATTTGACTTTGTCAAGGTCAAAATGAACTAGAATCCAGATCTGCTAATGGCAAAAATGGGGGTGTTCTGAGAATTCCAGCCTTGGGCCCCACTGTACAGCCTGGATAGAGTGTGGTCTGAGAAGGGAATGGGTCTAGGTTGTTCCATCCCTTCTGAGTTCCCTAAAGAGGTAACTGGTTGTCTTGGCTCTCAGCCCAGCAGCGCCTATCCTGGCTTTTGGTCCTGGCCTGCAGCCAAGTTGCTGTTCCTAGCCTGAGGCTTGAGACAGGTGGGGTTAGCTCCTCACCAACCCCAGTTCAGTCCCATCCTGAGGGCAAGATCCTGGGCTCATAGGCAGTCCCGTTCACTTCCCTGTCATGCTCCCTGCTGTGTTGGAGATGAATGTGACTGAAAGGGCCATCTTGCTGGCTTAATGTGTGACTGGAACGACCAGCCTGGAGACACAATGTGGCAAAATGGGGCGCTTCATCCAGTCTGTCTAAACCCTGTCGACTTGGGGAGGTGATTTCTCTCCTGATTCTGTATGTGAAGCAAAAGAAATGTTTTAAAATTAAAAGCAAAAAAACCAAAATGAACCATGTAGCCTGAGTGGTAAATGGAAGAACAAGGGGCACGTCTACTTTGGTTCTGGTGGGCGTGTTTGGTTGCCTACATGCATTGGGCAAATCTGCAGCACCAGCTGCCAGCACTGCTCCTTCCTGCGGCTGGCTCTTATTCCACTCCAATTTTAGGCAGGTCACACTATCAGGGCAGCTCACTGCTGTTGATGCTGCCTGCTCTGTGGGAGGGCAACAGAACCTTGGGATGTTTTTTAAGCGTGGTCTGAGCACACCCCTTATCAGAATTTGGCAACCTGAAAGAAATGCAGGTTCCTGGATCCTGCCCCAGACCTAATCACATCCCCAAGGGTGATTCTAGACACGGTAATCTTTTACAACTACCATCTGGGTCCTAGAGCAGGCTTCCCCGGGAGCCTGAGTCCTAATTCTAAATCCATTTAATCCAGTGATAACAATCCCTTGCCCATGTAACTCTCTCAAGTCTGAGCTCCTTGATCTTTGCACAACCGAGTGCAGGAGGCAAGGTTTCGCGCAGGACACGCTTTCAGAATACCGGTAAGATGAGTTGCCCTCGGTGGGATGGGACCAGACCTGGTGTAAATGCAGCGCGGTGACTGGAGAGAGGTGCCCAGTCCACTGCCTGCCGGGCGGGAACTGGGACCTAAGACCCGGGTGGTCATCTGTCTCGACCCCCAGCCTAGGGCAGGTCCAGAGTCCTTCCTCTGACCCTCTCCTTTGAGGCAGCGCGCTTCTTGGAGCGCAGCACTGGCGCGCCAGACGCAGCTCGGATGTCGCATGGAGCTCGCCTGACCCCTGCCGGCTGCCGCGTGGTTGCAGACGCGCGGAGCCAGTCTATCCGGCCTTTGCCTGGGGTTCTGGTCCCAAGGCCCCCAGTCTGGGATTTCAGGACTCAACGACGTTTTGTTTTAGCCAATAAGGACATTAAAGGGAAAGGGGGTTGGGGGAATGTTATCCTCTATTACCATCATTTCATACAAGGCCTTTTTTTTTTTTTAAGACGGAGTCTCGCTCTGTTGCCCAGGCTGGAGTGCAGTGGCGCCATCTCGTCTCACTGCCAGCTCCACCTCCCGGGTTCACGCCATTCTCCTGCCTCAGCCTCCCGAGTAGCTGGGACTGCAGGCACCCAACACCGTGCCAGGCTAATTTTTTGTATTTTTAGTAGAGACGGGGTTTCGCCCTGTTAGCCAGGATGGTCTCGATCTCCTGACCTTGTGATCCGCCGGCTTCAGCCTCCCAAAGTGCTGGGATTACAGGCGTGAGCCATCGCGCCCGACCGGCTTTTTTTTTTTAAGACGTAGTCTCACTTTGTCACCCAGGCTGGAGTGCAGTGGCCCGATCCCGGCTCACTGCAACCTCTGCATCTTGGATTCAAGCGATTCTGGTGCCTTAGCCTCCCAAAGAGCTGGGATTACAGGCATGTGCCACCACGGCCGGATAATTTTTGTATTTTTAGTAGAGATGGGGTTTCACCATGTTGGCCAGGCTGGTCTCAAACTCCTGGCCTCAAGTGATCCACTGGCCTCAGCCTCCCAAAGTGCTGCGAGTACAGGCATGAGCCACCGGGCCCAGCTAGGCCAGGAATTTTTTTTTTTTTTTTTTTTTGAGACAGGATCTCACTCTGTCGCCCAGTGCAGTGGTGTGATCTCAGCTTACTGCAGCCTCGACCTCCCTGGCTCAAGAGATCCTCCGGCCTCAGCCCTCCCCTGGCCACCCCCTTAACCCCTCAGTAGCTGGGACTAGAGGTGTGCACCACCATGCCAGACTAATTTTTGTGTTTTTTGTAGAGCTAGGCTTTCACCATGTTGTCCAGGCTGGGCTCAACTCCTGGGCTCAAGCGATCCTCCCGCCTCCACTTCCCAAAGCGTTGGGATTATAGGTGTTGAGCCAGTGTGCCCAGCCCTTAAATTTTTGTATATGCTTTATGTTCATGGTTTTAAAAAATACTACTATTTTTAAAGGCTTATTTTAAAAAATAAAAGTCCCCTGTCCCTCCTATCCCCATTCCCACTCCCAGGACAAAACCACTTTTGAATCTTTAAGGGGCTTATTTTGATAATTCACTTCATACCTCTAAGTGACATGCTTACTTATTCATTTAATTGTAAGCACTTTTAAGGATAGTTTTTGTTTTTGTTTTTAAGATGGAATCTTGCGCTCTGTCGCCCATGCTGGAGTGCAGTGGCACAATCTCAGCTGACTGCAACCTGTGCCTCCCAGGTTCTAGTGATTCTTCTGCCTCAGCCTCCCGAGTAGCTGGGACTACAGGTGCACACCACCATTCCCAGCTAATTTTTGTATTTTTAGTAGGGACAGGGTTTCACCATATTG